TATATGTATATGCCTCGTGAAAACCAGCTCCCGAGGATCCCGGACCCGTTTTCGTTGAATCTCCACAAATCTACTGAATTTTCGAATCACCAAGACGTTCCTCGTTTTAAGAAAATCTCCCCTCAGAATAAAAGAAAACGAAAAAAACATTCTTTCGTTTGCCTAGTTCTTTCTTTTTTCTCTTCTTTTTCACACGAGTGGAGTTACTGAGCTCTGCCAAAAGTGCTCTATAGTCTGATTAACATCATCGGATTACAATATGTAATGTATAATGAAAAACGCTATGCGGGTGTCTATTTACTTCTACGTTGATTAAATTGCCCTCGTGCAGTGCGGATGTCCGAGAGATATACTTAAATGTTTCATCGAATGATTTCTAATGTCCATTTCTATCTCAATCTTGGTTTAACTTTATTTTTTATCCTTTTTTTCACTCTGAAAAAAAAAGATAAAAAGTAAATTAAACTACATTAGTAAAAATAAATAGAAATATTTTCTTAAAATGTAAATTGATTCAACAGAATCAATCGCATACGCGTAGGAAGATTTCTAATTATACAATTATTTATAGAATAAAATTTTGTATTCTATGTGCTAAAAATTATCTAAAACAAAATCAGACACCTGCGCTGTACGAGTTCAATGTCGGATTTCGGCAGCCTAATGGCCGAATCATTCGGTGTCTGCTAATCAATAAATAGGCACTATAGGTCGACGTGAGGTCCTGACATCTCGCCTCTCGAAGGGGGAGAAAACCGAGAAATATGGGAGTTCCCACATCTCGGAATAACAAGAAATTTTTTTGTTGAGTACATAACGCGTTGGAAACAAATATCTATCTATGATAAAAGTACAGCGTGACTTCCTCTTAAAATAATTCGTTGTCCATGGTAATTCAAACGTGCGCCCTCTCCCCCCACGTTTGTCCGAGAGATCTCTAATAAAATGTAGCGAAGCCAGCCTCACGTGATTTTTTTCCTTCGCGAGAGATAGTATTTTTTTAAAATGAGGAGCAGATCCGGCTCTAAGTGTTTTAATAATAAGATAATAATAACTTTTCAAGAGCGGCATGTCGCGGCTGCCGTCCCCTCCTCCGAAGGAACATGCTTAGAAGATTGTCATTCATTTTACATTTAATCTAATTTCAATTTATTAAACTCGAACTATAAGAAAAACTATGAGATACACGAGACGAAGATTATATTAAGCTATACGAAAATATAAAAAAAATATTGATGCTTACAGATAAAGAAGAAAGCTTCTTGGTACTCTTTGTGGGGAATATAAATCTTTTTTATAAAACAGATAATTTTTATAATAATGCAAGTTACGAAAAGAAGTTTATGTAAAACATAAATGTTGAAAATTTTTGGAAAAATCTATTTGCTAAATTGCATATGATGATATTGATGAAATTTGAAATAAATAAATCTAGAGCCGGTCCTGCAAAAGATCCTGAATGTTAAGTTACGTTCTCATAACAAGAAATTTTGAGGACAGAAATTCAGAGTTGCAACGAATTTTAGATAATGTTTTTGCTACTGTAGAAAAGCAAATTTATTGTGCGATCATTAATAATCAAATTTGAGATCTTTGCGCGATTTGTTTTACGCTGTTAAATAAGTATCAGATTACATATTGAAAATCGAGATTACATTAGGTTGAAAGAGACTTTTGTTTCTTTTTATTCCAATCTCTGATTAACATGTAGCCGGATACGAATGTTGAAAGATTATTATTAATATTCGGCAAGATTCAAATATAGAAAGCTTGTATAAGAATCATAAGTTTGGTTTTATAAAGAATTTGAGATTAGTAAAAGAGTATGAGCTATATGCTCGCTGCTCTTATAAAGTTTATGAAAATTTGATGTTGATCGGATGTTATCTGAATAAAACAAATGCTGAAGATTAAACTGAGCGTTTAATCAACGATTTATTTTTAAAACTAATTCTCGATAACGAGTATTGCCAAAGATGTTTTAACAATATTTTACTTGAGAATATGCACATAGAAATTTTTTAACTTGCTTCGTTAGTGTTAATAAATTTTGTGAGTTTTGTTTAATTATTTTATTGTGTTAGAATAGTCAAACGAATGCACAGTTATCAAAGAATCATCAAAGTTGTACAAGACACTTTTTATTTGGGCATTTTGCGCGATATTTGAGTATTCTGAAATTTTAACGATGCGGTCAATCGAGAGAGTCGAAAGAAGTATGAGATAAAAGCGTTGCTAAATAAAAATGACTTACTTTAGCGTTTGTTCAATGATCTATAACAAAAAACGCGTCTAATTAATCGAACAACTATGGCAGTATGGTGTTGCAAATGCACACAGGATATCCGAGAATTGAAAGGAAATTGATTACATAATACCTTTTTTTCCTTAAAATTAAGAGTCAATTTTTCTTCAACAAAGATGAATTTGTGTTCTCCAATTTAGTGTCACAATTAAATTAAAAGAAAATAAAAATATTGTTTTAAATATAATAGTAAATAATGTCCTTTGCTCCTTTATGTATTTGACGATTAATTCGCGGACAACTTTTAATTGTCAACAGCTTATAAATTAAAAAAGAGATTTCTGTTTAAAAATTAATTCAGATTTCAAGATATTTGCATTCCGCCAATTGTTAGAGATCCTGTATCATAAAGTAAAAAACAGAATTAAAGAAAAATACTTTAGTTACGATAATAATCACCGAAGGAAGCCACATTATTTCCATCTGCGTGTCGTTCGTTATTTTTTTTTCGATCTTCTTCGCCGTTAGTGACGCGATTAATTTACCCTAAGATTTGAGGCAGTACTCTTTTTGTATACCGATAAAATTCGTTCTTCGTAGCAAACTCCGGGCGGTCTGCATTATCTATGTGCTAACAATCTAAATTTCTCTCTTTTTTTCTTCTTTGAAAAGAAGACCGTACAACAAAGTCGAATGTGCCCAGATTTGGTCCGACTATCCTTAATTACGATGTAAGAGACAAGGATCACGACGTATATAAATGTAGAGTTATAGTAAAAAGGTTTCATTAAATACTAACCGAGAACTGTCTCTACGTGCACGCAAGTGCGAATATCGCTCTCTCGATTATTAAAGCCACGATAAATCAGTATTAAAAGGTGAGTATTAAACGTCTGAGAATTCAATAAAATTCAATAGCAAAGCATTGAAAAGCTCCAAACGGTAGATAAGTCACTGCGATCGATTTCGCGATTGATTAGGTAATTGGAAAAATGTCTCAACTTTCTGATAATTACAGTTCAAAATACTAAGTATTCCAATTATCTATAAAAATCCCAATTTGAAATTTGCGCGTATCGAAAAGTTTCCAAAATTTTTAATTTAGAGTTTCAGTGTTGGGTACGATCGACGTGTAAAATTCTTAAGTTATCTTATGTGATAATCTGAATAAATAAATAGCAATAATAAATACAAGTTCTCTTATTATTTGTTTAATTAGATTCTGTACGAAAAGTGATAATTTAAACATTTTGCTTGTATATGATTGCTTATGTATAAATACCCAACGCTGAGATTAAATACCTAAATTATAAATAGCTAAATATAACAGTTATATATTAAGCTATATATTAATAACTTAATTAATAAACTTTTGAAAAATTCATCAAACAAATGATAAATAAACCCAAAGCATGCTCTTACCAGGGTAGCGTAACTTACTAGAAATAGTCGCTATCTTAAAAGAAAGCTCATTACATTGACGGTTTCGAATGTATTTTAAGATAGTACTAATAATTAACTAGATTAATTTTTTAATTGAATATGCAGTAAATTCGAATCCATTCGATAAAACCTCGATTTGCCGTCAATCATTTCATATGAATCATTTAAGCTAATGCACTTACAGTGCTTCTTAATGCAATATCTTTCTCTGATCGACAAAAAACTACTAATTAAAATTCTGTGCCTTACATGTAATCTAATTATATATGGCATAGATAAAATTGCTAATGTATAAACTAACGCTATGAATAATTTGTACATATCGGTATGCTCAAGGCGTCAGAAATATGCGGTTAAAATGTATTAAGATTCTTAAAATGTTCTTGAAAAGCAAATTGTCCTTAGAATTTATGATAATATTAATAATGACTCGTCAATTGCATCAATTTGGATTTTTTTATATAGCAAAATTGATAATGTAAACTGTTCATTATTATATACATTGAACTACTAATATTGCAAATCAATTTTTTACTAATACAATAATGTTGTAATAATATGTCTTATTGACCGAAGCTCATTTATTATCAATATCATCAGTACTCGAAGTAAAAAAGATAATATAAATAGTGATAAAATAAATAATATCTGTTTGTCTTTTGAGATCCATATTTCTTTTCAAAGACTTTCTTCATGATTCCGATATCAGTTATCATATTTTCAAGTATTTTGAAGCTTTGTATGAAAAAATTTTCACAGACAGATATATTCGCGCAAATATTCTTATAAAAAGTTCATATACTCTAGATACTCACATTTTTCACATATATGATAACTAAAAAATAACTAAATTATTTTTATTGGTCAAAAAATAGATTGGAATAATTCTAATTAAAAAATGTTAATGTATGTTTAATTTAGCGAGTAAAATCGTTTTAACTCACTTACAACTTCGAGAACTGATATATCTTATCAAATTGCATTTCTATTTCGAAAACGGCTACATCTGGTACTTCCGCTACGCTGGTAATTCATCCTTAAATAATTTCTTCGTCATTACAGGAAATCCAGCATCATGGTATACGCATTTTTGTCAAAAAGCATTAACTTGATAACGATTCCTTCAACGATTCCTTCAACTATTTACAACAAAAAAATTACCGAAAATTTCTTTTCAATCTCGTCCTTGTCCCTTTCTTCGTTTATTGATGCAATGGCTCTCAACCATGACTTTCTTCTTCTCTTTTCATGAAACAAATTGCATAATTTTTAAACAATCATCTTTTCAGATATAATTTTTTAAAGTAATAGAGTTTCTTTGTCAAAAATAAAATGCTAAGCCTCATGTCTAAATATTACAATAGGATTGCGTATTAAATTAGCCTTTCTTGTAACGTGTCTTAATATCATTAATCGTATAGATATGCCTAACGATCGTCAGAAGGCATTTTTATAATTATACTGTGATTAATCACATTTCTAATCGAGAACATCACAACTTGAATAAAACGTACCACGGTTTCTAAGACAATGTTTATCCGGAAAAGCAACTTACTAATCAGCAAAAAATCTATGGTCGTTTTTTAATTTCTCTTCTCAAATTGGCCGAGAACCATCGCTCCGACACTTCGACGACTCAGACGCTCTCACATACATACTCGCATGCACGCACATGTCGCTCTCCATCTCGAGGAGATTCGCCCCGAAGAAGCCAATGCGGATTTATCGTCCTATCTAGAATTAGATCTGCGCTGTGTGAAAAGTCTACATGTATGTATATAATATACGTCTACGTATATATTATCACTGAGTCGCTGTCGCTGTCGCTGTCCGACGTGGTGATGGTCGTCAACTAGGATCAGCTGTCATCCGGCGTGTCTTGGTATTCCTCGCTCTCCCTGTGCACCAGCACATGCACCACCGTCGCCTCCGATTGCTGTCTGATCAGCGGCGGCCTCGAGGGCGGTGCCGAGTTCTCCGGACTGGGCTCCGTTACCAGAATACTCACGTCGCTACTCTCGACTGGCAGCTGCACCGGAGATGGAGGCGGCGCCCGCCGTCTCAGGCTGCCGCATCGTCGATTGAACGCCTCCTTGATATCCCGCTGCAACGTGTTCAGGGAGAGCGTGGTACCGCTCGGTCGCAGGGAACTGCGCTTTGAGGTCGGTGGACTGAGTATGTCCTCCTCCGAGTATTTCTCCACTGCGTCCTGCCGGCCCAGCGTGGGGCCCAGCGATCTACAGCAGGAAATAAATTGTTATTAATGAGTTCATTTGTTGTACAGAGATGTACGCCTTTCGGCATACAATATTTGTAAGATATATAACGGAGTTTGTTTTCTTTATAAATCCAATTTGTCTCAATTTGTCTCAATTACAAATGTTCGCGGGACATCTGGAGAATATCGCGTGACGGATAAATAATTATAAAGATATAATTAAATCTTCTGAAAAAAAAAAACTTCTGTATGTACGTCTGCAACTTGTAAAAAGCAATGTACAAATAAAATGACAAATAAAACAGCAATATTATACTTCTTATGATGATGTGAATAAGACATTACTTCGTTTATATAAAATTGAGCTTTCTACTGAGATTATTACGGATATATGTAACATGCAAAAACTTTAAAATTGCATAGTCTGAAGAAAATATTTTATTTAAAGTCCGCTAGAAATATGATATAACGTGGACCAAATTAGGCTAATGATATATCTAAATGTCATTAACGTGCTGCAATAATCAAAATAGTAATAATAACATTAAATATAATTTCTTTATTCAGCTACAATTACAAATCGATAAGCGTAATGATGAATCATAATCGTAATGCATTGTTGAGAATATATATGCGCAACGAGCTTTTGTTATCCTCTAATTTTTGCTAACTTACTAATTTGCTAAAACGTTGTATTTTTACAACGCTGTAGCGTACTAATTTTATGGCTATAAATTAGCAAACTCTATATACTTCCTGGCAATAAACATACGCAATACTTTAATCGCTAATTTAAATCTTTTCATTTCTCATATAATATCATACAAATCAAACGCTAAAATTTGAAGAATTCTCTAGTTCTATATGTTCAACTTTACCTGCTCATTTTCTTGCCTGAGGAGTTTTGAAAGGGAAAGAAGCTGGATTAATCTTGTATACAAAATAGGGCATATTATGCAAGAGTTAATTACACTATGACATGTATTGTTTTAATTCGTGTATTTAAAATTGTTAATTTATACAAACTCCTCAGGCCAATACAATTATGTATTTGTCCTTCGCGATTAATTGATACAAAATTGAATTTAATTATATTTTCAATAGTAACTATCTCTTTATTATTTAGTATTTTATTTTAAAAATTAATTCATGAGATTATTATATTCACGTTTGAATCAGATTATTTTAATCAATAAATAAATTAATATTAATCAACTTAATATAATAAAATAGTCACTTAAGAAAAAGTTTTTAAATAATTCTAAAAATTATTATTATTATTCGTTCTAATTAAACATTTATTTAACCATCCAATGCTCGTTTTATTTGATCTTTCTTCTACATTTCCTATTTATTAATACGAGCTGAATTTTTTTGTTAATTCTAAAAATTATATCTTATCGCCGGGTGTATACACTAACCTGACAGTAGCGTGAGAATCTGAGCCGGAGCTAGAGGCAGCGGAAGGTTGTTCGGCGGTCGGTGAGGGACGGGACACAGTCAGCGCCGGGGGTTGCAGGTCCTCGTGGGTTCCTGTGGCGCCGGAGAGCAACAGCAGAGGAAGATTTGGGAACAGCCACGCCGAAGCGGTGCCGAGTTCGCTGAGATCGCTGGCGTCGCTAGCCCTGGAGGACTTGCGGCTACTGGCCCGGCTACCCCGATGCACGTGTAGCAGAGCCGACAGCTTACCGCCCCATCCACCCCCGCCCCTACCATCCACGCCGCCCGGACTCGAGGTCTGCGTCTGCGAGTCCACCTCCTGAGCGATTCTTTCTCGCTCTTTTTTCATTCTGCGCATATATTGAGATTAATTTCATATTGTGATGAATGCAAATTAATATCTATAAAGATAAATAGATAAAATTTTCACGTTTAAATTGATTATTTAAATATTATTAGTTGCCGTTTTGAATTTCAGCACTTTAATACTTTAAGATTAATTAAATAATTATTTATTTTAATATGAAAAACTATTTAATTTCTATTAGAAGTCTCATTTTTAAAAATAAAAAACTAGTTGTACTTACGCAATATATTCTCTTATAGAACGTTGAATCAACCTGGCAGCTTTGTCTTGTCGCTTCCAGATTCTCGTGGAAGACACTATCTCCAATTCTTTTCTAGTCGGAAACTGCTTTTTGAACTTGACGTCCATCTGTTCCTGCAGCTTCCTGAAGTCGTCTGATTCCTCGACGTGCCCAAGAACGTGCTTGACGAGAGCGTGCAAGATGTCCAGACAATGAATCTTGTTACCCTTTGCGATGGGAAGATTAAAGCTAACCAATGCTACTATGTTGGGCTTTGATATCCCCAGCGGCGGGTCCAGGCTCGCTATAAAGTCGCTCAACTGCGAGAAACTGATAAATTGAGTTGCATGCGGATCGTACCTAGAATAGAAAAACGAAAATTTCAACTCAAAATTGCAATCAAATTATCTTACTATTAAATTAATAGTTTTTTAATAATTTCAACCTAATGAACAAAAAACTTTTTTTTAGAAGAATTAAAAAGAATAATATCTTACTTCGACCATCGAATGTAGAACATTTCGAGGTCATCCTCGACAATACCGATCTCCTCCTCCTGATGAGCTTGATTGAAGTTCTCTAAGATGATGGCAATGTACATGTTGATTACTATCATATAGCTAATGATAATAAACGATGTAAAGTACGTGATCGCTAGTAAAGGATATCCGCAATCTCCATTCATTTGTCGGCTGTTTGGGGTGGGATCGCATTCAGGTGGTTGTACCATCAGTGACTCCAGTACATCGTTCCATCCAGCCGAAGTCATCAAACGGAATAGCAGCTGCATACTTCTACCGAAGGTTTCGAAATTTACCTATGAAACAAAATGTTATTTATTAAAAAAAAAGTCAAAGAATCTCTTTTAATTTTTAATATTTTTTTAAATGTATAATTAAAATAGAGAGAGAGAGAGAGAGAGAGAGAGAGAGAGAGAGAGAGA